CATTACATGATGTGTAGAGGACAGAGAGGATGCTAACTTTTCAGAACCCCACATACTCAAAACAGAGATATATCCATGCTGCTACTGCAAGCCTATCTAGTTTACTTGCTACCTCCACCATGACAAGCTTCAAGTCTTATCTGTCCATCAGTAGTTTTCGTCATCTGCATCTTCTATCACATTTGTCATTTAGGTTGACTGAGTATGTGTAGTTCATGAAATGATCACTGCATTTGTCATTGAAAGGACTACTGAGACTGATGCCAGACTTCATTCATTTTGCTTGTCTGTGATCAGATGAAGTGGACTCTGACCTGACCTCCTCGGAACCAGAATCTCAAGCCACTTACCTGGTCATCAACTCCTGGGACCGCATGGAGCTGTCGGTCACCCCATTTACCATCAGCGTCCTGATTGATCTGACCAATGCCTTCACTGCTAGGCCAGAGCCGAAGATGAGACTGATGGCGCAGCATAAGACAGCGTTGAGTATCATCAACACCACAGGACTGCAGGCCAAGATGCTCATACCTGTTGAGTTGATGGTAAGGTGGAGGGATTTTGTTTGGTAACAGGTTGAAATTCATCTTGGGAGGGAAGATGATCCCAATATGGTTTTGGTTGAAACATATCTAATGCCATGATGCTTACAGAGTGTCTCAAAACTCAGAAAACTTAGCGTGCTTCACCAGTCTTCACAATCTGTTCCAGTACCTCCCTGACTCAATCATGGTATGGTCGTTTGCGGTTACATGTGCTATTCATATGGTAACTGTAAAAGCACCAGCTGTGCCTATATGTACCTGTTTACCTGTGCACATACAGGCTGTAACGGGCTTCATATTTTGCCTCTCTCCAGTGATTACTTGCCATGTTCCAGTGGGAATAGTTTCTTGAAAGGAATCAAAAAGAATATATGTGAAGATACTTCACTTGGCCTAAGAAGCTAAGTGAGTTGAATTCCTTGTATTAAGCAGTACAAATGTACATGGTGTTTTCTGTTAGAGTTCCACCTCAGCTGAGAACGTTACCCTCGAGCCTGTAGGTATTGACCAACCAGATCAACCTAGTTTGTCCATCCAAGCCATGGAAGAGAGGTAAGGACGAAGATTTACATTTATTGAGAGGCAGAACTACATTGCCTTGTCTTTTTTTGCTCCAAACATGACCTTGTTAGAGTGCTGACATGTCTATTTACAAACAAGTGTGACCTGGCCCAGTCTTTACAAATCACCCAAAGTATCTTTTTAATCAAGTGGAAGAAGTGGTCTCCACAGGGAACAAGAGAGGGAGTTTTTTACAGCGTTGATCTGTCCTGGTACAGTCATCAGTTTGGCTCTCAAAATTTCTTCAAACTGGGTGAATGTGTAGTCTTTGTAATGCATGTGAAAAACAAATGAGTGAAAGAATATACTAAGACTCTCTTTGGGGAATTCAGTCACAAATGTGTAGACATTGCTTTGCTCATGCTGGAGTCAAGCGTTTGAATAAAACAATGGAGGAATGTACACATGGGGTTTATTCACCAGATGGCCATTTTGGAAGAGGCTTCCTGAATCCACTTTATTTTTATTGAACACTCTGAAATGGGGAGGAGCTCTTATGTTTGGCTATAATCAAAGGTATAGCCCCACTTTGAAACACATTTTTCATTTGCACGAAAGGTGACATGATATCCCCATCTATAATATGGATCTGCCCATTGGGCATAAATATGAAACTTGCCCTTGTAGTGTCATCTTCATCTCCAGACTCATGAAGCTTTATGAAATTTGTATTGAGATCACCTCCCTCTTAAGCCACTCGTGTTTCAGGCCACTAACTGGAGATGTTTAGTTGAAGTATTCTCAGCTGAAAATGATAGTTAGACATAATCAAGGCCATTCTACACGATCAACCAACTGGCGGCCTACCAGTTGTGCTATGTACATGTACAGCTTGGAACAGTGACTTGAACATGCATATATTGTGCTCTCCTCACAGCGAAGATCCCTTGGAGTGCCTGTGTAAGGTGGTCAAACCATCCAGATACTCAGACGTATATGGAGCTTGTCCAGAAGTTGCTGACTGTGCAGATGGACCACCCACTCCAAAACTCAAAGACCCAGAAACTGGACAGTTCATCTTTGAGGTAACCATGGTAACGTAGAATAGACATGAGAATGCTGGAGTGTGTTTTGCTAATTTATTCAGAGTGAAACAATAACCCCTGTTTGCTTTTCACTATCCACCATGTGAAGTGGTTGTAAATCCATGTCTTGCATGGTATTGTTGTCTAATTTCCTGACTTGCGAGTGACCTAACTGTCAACATTTGCTTGTTTCTCTGCTGTACAGGTGGCGGGTATGGCGCCGATAACACACTTTGCTGCTTCTAAGGTTACCCAAACACCATTTATTCTAGCACCCTTACAGGCAAGCGCTTGTCCAATATTCTCCCTCACAAAGCTCTCTGAATGCTGTTGGTTTTGATGATCAAGGGACTTCGGTGGTTCTGGATAGCTAATTAATCCTACAAGAACTGAGCCATTTTGGACCATCTGGGAGGGGTGACTGTCCCCCCCAACTCAACTGTCCCACACCTGATTGTGATTGTTTTGAAACTTGACAAGCATGTAAAGACAATCTTTACAAACAAATCTATGAAGTTTCCATTCAATCCAGTGTATGGTCATTACGCAAAATTTGAATTCATAACCTGGTGCTTAAGTGGCCTCACACTTTTATTTTAACCTATTTATACAGGCTAGGAGGCCTTTTAGTGCACATACCCAATAGGTAGTTAGTTTATGGCAGTAGAGTCTCCTAAAACCTGCTGTTCCTTTATGCTCTAACATTTAATCCATTGCATGTTTCGGGGCGACAGGAACTGACTCCATTCAACTAATTTTTCTTTCAAACATTTTTTTTGCTATTAATCTTTAATAAAAGCAAACCATTTATGGTAGGAGCAGACAGGTTGACCTTTCTTATATTGCAATGAGATAATTTCCAAGAAGAGCTCTACAGCATTTTATTTCTGAGTTGAGTTGCTTGGTTATTTTCAGGGTGGGGAGGAGTACCCTGTTGTACGTGAAGTGGATGTATCCCATGGCAAGAAAACCATTAAAGTCAGGTCCCCGCTGCAAGTAAGTATCAAGGCTAGAAAGAAAGCACTCAAATAGAGTGTACTCCATTTACAATAAATATGTGACTTTGAAGGTTCTACAAGAAGAAAAATTCAAGTATACCTTTCTTTACTTTGCCTCAATCACAGCAGATCGATATCTAAATTAAATGCCAAATACAACTTAGAACTTCATTTCTGGGCAGTCCATTGGTCTGAAACATTTTCCACATTCTCTGTGTTGAGAACTTTAACATTCTTTCTTCTTTTCAGTTTTTTTTTCACAATAAACTCAAACATTCCTTTGTGCAGAAACACAGCTAAGTTTCCAGTTCTAATTTCTGTTCACTCGGAACTTGATTCTCTAATAACTAACTTTATTTATTATCATCTTTATTTCGTACCATTTTAACGAGGGGCAGTCCATCCAGCAGAAACTGATCATTTTGGACCTTCACACTGAAGAAAACAATAAAGAAATGTTCAATTTCAGAGACGAGAGGAAACCCCTGGATAAGTTAGGGACTGAAAACCCAATGTACATGTCAGCCTGAGCAGGATTCAAACTGACTGCAGAGGTGGAAGACAAGGAAAGAACCACTTCACCAACCTGACTCCCCTTTAAGTGTAGTCATTGGCAATTCATGCAGACATGTTAACATCCTCCACACGGAGTACAGGAAAAGACACAGGCAGAAAAGTTGGTCAACAGTCACTGTGCGAAGAGAGTTGCAGGGCACGTGCATTTAATTAGTTGTGGGGGATTTTAACTATTATGTAATACACTGTGCGCTGAAACAACAAGCATTTTGGATTCGGGACACACTGAGCATCTGCAAGCAACTTCTGGAAAGTGTTACTGGAGGGTCATCAGAGAAGGGTTGAGATTTGACTAGGTTAAGACAGAAAATTTATTGAATCTATAAAAATCAACACACAGGAATAACCTTGAGTATGGTAGGTATGTTTTTCTTAGTCTGGTCATCTGTTCTAAACAGGTTGTCAACAACTGTCCAGTCACCATGCAACTGTACTACAAAGCCCTGGAACTGCAGACCCTACAAGGCCCTGCTATACCAGGCCAAGGGCTTGATGAGTACACTCTGCTGGCTAGAGTCAAGCCCAAGGAGGTCTTTGATGTTCCTGTCATCGTAGCCTACAATGCCGGCATCTATGCTTGCCCTGCTGATCAAGGGTAAGTAAACTGCCTTAAATAGCATTGGGAGGCATAACCTTCCCTGGTCAAATGGGGTTTTGCTCAAGTTCAACTTTCAAGCCATAAATGGAAAACCTGACAGGCTCCAATTTGTTATGAATTTCTGGTTCGGAAGAGAAAAACTGTGTCAAATGGGATTTAAAACTGAGGCCAATAGAGCTGTACCCTGAGTGTATCTTGTGAGTTTTTAGCTCAAAGTGTTGTGGATCTCAGCAAAGTATCTTGCTACCAGTAATAACAGTGTTGCTAATACGGGCGATTCATAGAAGTGTGCCTCCAAGAGTTTGCAACGCGTTGGTCAATCACAGTGCACGAAATCTGTTGATCCTTTGCAAATGCACATTGTGTTGATAGATTACGCGCATTATGATTGGTTAGTATGTCGCAAAGTCTTGGAGACGCACTATTGTAAAATGCCCATATTATGAAACGCCCGTATTATGAAAGTGGCTGTTGTAGATTACTACAGGCATGAAAGGTTCCTGTATTGAAAGTGTCACCACTCTTACGACCTTTTCACATTTGTTCAAATGCTTCCTGTGTAGATAACCATTTCTGTGGTCTGATTCCCTTTTTTGCAGCTACAACATCAGTGAGAAACCGATTAAATGGCAGGAACTAATGTCCCCAACAGAGCTGACCATCCGTTGTAAGTCCAGACAGAAGGGAGAGTTACCATTCCACTTCAAGGTATAGTAAAACGTTGATAACACGAAGTTCAAGTTAATGAATAAAAATTTTGAGTTATCCAGACTTTGAGTTGAAGAAAGTCTCACAGCCATGGAGCCAGTACACCTATACACATACATAGACATAGTCCTTCCAAACTCGCTCCCCAGTAGCATCATTTTGGTGACTATTTTCTGCTTTTTATTCATTTTCATGGAACATTTTTGCTCATAAATAATCGTTTTATTGAGATTTTTCATTGTTGTTATGTCTAGATGTTTCGTTTCTACGAATAAATATACAATTCGTCATGGTTTTAAAAGTGTACTTTCGTGTGGAAAATCTTTGGTCTTTTCGGCAATTGTGTTTACAACGTGATGCATGCAGTATTTGGGTCTGCTTTCAAATGGGTTTTCCTTATGACATCGCTTTCTAAGGTCCCATGACCATTGTAATAGGCAGTGATTGGTCCATCCATACATGGGTCTTGCGGTGGCAATCAGACTAGCCTCAAAGCCCAGATTTGTTGCGGTTACAGTGTAGCGTGGTTTATGAAGCGAGCCATCCAGCATGCTGCCATGCAAGCAGATCGAGGGTGAAAACACAATGAGCGCTTGGCAGTGATGAGTCAGACCGTGGTTTCGTTGTCTCATGTTTGTACTTTTTTAGACGATTTGGTGGCAGTTTTTTTATCAGCGTCACAAGAACTCTGACTTAAGTGGGATTTTTGCTGCTTGTAATTCGATTTACGGAAGTATTTATATACACAAATACCTTTGGTGGGAAGAAGGCATCACTTCAAGACAAGCGGACTTTCGACTTAGCCGAGTTTGACTTATCGAGGTTAACTGTAATCAGTCACCTCGTTAAAACTAAAATGTGGGACTTCCAAACTCATATGCCTACTGGTCTCACATGAGACTTTGCGCATAGTCTGTAGAACTGTTGTAAGCAAATGTTAAAGTCTGTGGGTAAGACAAATTGATAACTGTGCAGATGCACAACTAGCATCAGTAAGCCTTACTCCCCCCAGTACAGTTCACATCCATACATTTTGTCACCATTTTCATGAAAAGACGAAAGTCTCGCCAGAAAGTAAAACCTAGTTTTCAAAAAAATTGCGCTTGAAGTTGGTCTCGTTTTTAAACACGTATTTCCCTGGTATGTAGCAGTCCTTTGAGTTCACCAATGCCACAGCCTGAAAGAAGGGATATTAAATGACACAAAACCACAACATAATATTTTAAGAAGTCAATTAAATTTGTTTATCTTGTAAACAAACACTTTTGTCAGTTCTTGAAAAATGCTAACCATCATATGACTTGTGTCTCTCTGAAATGGCATACACAGTGCAGGTGTTTGCTGTAGTGCATGCTGGGTGCAAAATTGTTGCATTTGGATACGTTTCCAGAGTCAAGTTTTTCTCTTCATGAAAACAGTGAATGAGTTTGCCCATAGTTTTGTCCTTTACTGCTAATGTTTTACCTTTGGAAGACAACTTTCTCTCTTCGTAAAAACGGAAAATGCCTTTTTTAAAACTTTGCCGTTCAGTGATCATCATGATTTGGCCGATTTCAGTAGATTTGGTAAAATGATTACACCAGGTTATAGGCATCACAAAGCCATGTTAATTTGCACCAAAAAAAATACAAATTTGAAGCAATCATGATTTTCGGCCACATTGTCTCTTTATCAGTGTGTTTGTGAAAAAGGTTCCGATTTGGTAAACTGTCCTGATGTTTTTAGTCTGTGTTGACACCCTTGGTTTGTCCTTTGTGACTCACAAAACTCAATGGATCGCATTCCAGCAGACAGTAATAGTATGGATGATGTCCTCTTTATTTACAGGTGACTCGTAAGGAGCACAAACTCACCAAAAGCATCAATTCCACTGCTGATCTGCCTTCCTACGTCCTGGATCTCTTCCCACCAATCACTATCCACAACTACCTCCCTTATGATGTTGTCTACTCCATGAAGGTGGGAAAGCAAGCTTGTAATCACAGCTGTCATTGTTACCAAGGAACCTAGGGAATTTCTTACACACTCAAAAAGTCCTTGTGCATTTTTGGAAAAGGTCTAGTGTGTGCGATATACAAGCCTTTATTATTATAATTTACTGTTCATGTACTTGAACAAATGTTAACGTTTAGTAGAAACACTCATTTCCAGGCTCATTTTTAAACGACGAGTAAGATCCGTGTTTCAGCAAACAGTTTCCATTTTCCCATTGGAATGTTCAAGTCATTTAGAAAGTCAAGCTAAGAGCAACATTCTCAATATGAGCAACTCTGCTACACGGGATTGTCGGCCATTATTTCAAGCGCGGGCATATTTTAAAACAATCTGGAAATTTCTTTTTTACAGGAGAACGGTCTGAAGTTTCTCTTGAAAGGAGACAAAATGGCGATCTACTCCACGGACCTTAGTGAAGCTCAGAAAATGAAAATACAGGTCAGAAACACACATTTATTTATGTAGTTGTTTACGCTAATGCACTTGTCACGGCAGGATAGAATGAAAATATATTTGTTATGGTCTTCCCCTTAGGTCAAGAGCTACTTAGCAGCCAACTGGGAAGGCAACCTCCTTGTCTCCAGGGAGATGAAATCCCACGAATCCATCACCATGGAAACCAAGGATGTGGAGGGAGATCAGAAGAAGTATTTGACACTCTGGGCTCACAGTACAACGGATGAAGGGACATGGGATATCTTCCTATACACGCCATACTGGATTGTCAACAAGTCGGAACTGCCAATAGAAATCAGGGTGAGCCTGCCTTCACTTTACTGGTTTTCCTGCATCTTCTGTTACTGGCTGCCCAAACCCTGTAGCCTCTACCCCTTGTTGTCTTGTTGAACTAAAGTTGCCCATACAGCTATCATAAAATTTTGAAACACTTTGTGTATATAGACCTTCTTCACCCATGTGAATGGATTACGCTAAATGTACATGTAAACAATACCACCACTTGTGCAACGCCTTGGCTGTGGTGATCGCATATATTCCTATGGGCAGCTTCAACCACGTGTAAGAGTACACGCAAACACTGCATGCTTGACTAGTTTATCTTGAATAGATAGATGACCATCACAACACTATGCTGCACTCATTACCATCACAACACGTCACGGTCCAGCATGATTGTAGCATCACTGAGAAAAGCTATACACCTGTCATCACCTCTGCATATTCATTAGCCCATAATGATCACTTAACCGGTCGGTAAAAATACTAATTATAGTCCCTGCCCCACAGTGGCAACCCTAATGCAGGGACCACTAGCCAGAATACTCGTAGTCACTGGTACCCGTGGGTACTTTTATAATAGATAATTAGAAATAGAAGTGGGAGCAGCAACCTGTTTTATTATTGCTATGATGAGGGACATGATGTTTGAACACCCTCTTTGATGCATAGCAACCAAGGCAGAACCCAAGGTGTTATGATTCACTCGCTTGTGAAAAAATACCACTTTACATTATTCAGTAATTAAGTACTGTATCCCAAGTAATACGGAAGGAAAAAAATTAGTTCTACCTTTTAAGCTTTAAGACTTTAGGCCCTGTGTTAATCAATAATTAAAACCGGACTGTCTAAAATTCCTTTAAGTTATAGTACATATATTTTGTACTTGATTTCCCAGGCCTCCAGGTCAAGGAAAGTGTTCAACAATCACTCTCTTAGTGAGCCAATCCTGTTTAGCTTCTCCAACAGCAGGCGAAGAAAGGTATGGTATGGAAGAGAAGACCTGTTGAGTATTCTTTTCTTCAAATCTTAAACTTTCTATATTGCTTTCATTTCATCTCAATTTGCCAAAGTTTCTGTAACTTTTTGGGGGGAGGGTCTGAACAACCCCAGGAGCCAAAGTTCCTCTTTTGAACGTTCCTTTTTAGGCCAAGCTGCGAGTGTTTGATTCTGTGTGGTCAGCATCTTTCTCTCTGGATACTGTCGGGAGCTCTGGCGTAGTCATCTGTAAAGATGAAGACCATGACAGAACATACCAGGTAATAGTCTTGTCACATTTTGTGATCCCCGTGCCTATTCAATCCTTAAAATTATCCACCCATATAAAAAAAAATGGATATTGTCTCAGAATGTCCCACAGATTCTATTAAGTTTATCAAATTTGAGAAGTTTGTCTTTAACTACCAAAATTACGTCTGTCTTACGATAAATCTTTATTCGTGTATTTTATTGTTTAATTTCATTTGATATATTTCTACTTCTTTTTTTGTAGTTTTGGCTAGAGATCAGTCTGTCCAAGCTCACCTTGACCAAGATTGTGACTCTAACGCCTTACTTCCTAATCCGCAACAAAACTGACCATGTGCTGTCCTACATGGAGGAAGGAGTCAGGGCTGGTATATGGGTCAACATCAAACCCACTGAGGTCAGCAGGAATGCTCAGTCAGACTTTAACTCTTTCTATCTTAGCTCTGAAGATTTATGTAGTGTTAGTTTGTACCTGTTTTTCCACACTGACTGCACTTGAACAGTGCACCTTATGAGCATGTATACACAGTGTCCCATATGGACCTCTCACTTTCTACATGTACATCACAGTCCTTGTTTTTAACTGCCAGAGGTTGGAAAGTATGGCTTTTCTTCAGCACAAAAGCAAAGAAATAGATTACGAAGTGTTGGTAACTCTCATCTGGCTTTCAAAACAAAATGTTAAAAAATACTGCAAAAAAGTTGAATGCCTTACTCTCTACCACAAATGGGTAAATAAACACTTTGAGGAAAAACTTGTGAGCAATCAGGTCTGAACTTTTTGAGTTCCACATTGAATGGGTCAGTGAACAGAATTACTGCTTGTCATTCAGGAAACAATTTGAATTGAAGGTGATTTGATTTGAATAATTGTACACTGGTCCTAACAAATACGCATTTTCCATATCCCATGATTTTACAGGTGCTCCCATTTTGGCCAGGGAGTGAGTCCATGAAGTTGATATGTAAGAGAGCCGAGACACCAGACCAGCTCTGCTCCAGACACTTCAGTATTGACAGCTCCCATTCAACAGCACTCAGGATGGAGAGAGGGGTAATGCAGCCAATTACAATTTACTATATCCTGAACAACTTGTCAATGAAGCCTAAATCTTGATCCTCGATCAATTCCACTATTCTTGCCATCAGCTGCTGTTTGAGGTTCTCATTTACTCTTGGGTTTATTTTTGATTTCTGCCATGGTGGTTTCACATTCTGATGAGTGGCATTGTAGAGCAACCTATTGTCAGTTGCCTTTTTAAGATGCGGCCGCAGCAATGGATTTCTGTTTGGTTTGGTTACATAATATGTTTGTCCTTTTTTGTTTTTATTTTGTTAATAAATGTAACCTACTTCAAAGGGAACAATCATGATAATGATCAGTTTTCTGAATTTTATGAACAAATTAACAGTACTTTGTTTCATGCATGTTACACAAATTGGAAATGGTGAATACAAAAAGAGTTAAGAGGAACCAAAGAGCTTAGCACTGGGAGAGTGTGGTTGATGTATGATATAGGAACATGTCAAGGCAGTGTCAAGCCAAGGATGAGAATCAATGAAGGTAATTGCCTGTTGCTATGTAAACTTCAGACGTCAATGCAGCACATGGTAATGTGTGATGTACAGTGGTAAATTCTCTCACTGATGGTAGTGTTGGGGCTGTCACAACCTTGTGAGTGGGAGGTTTGATGCCGCGCAGCATGAGAGCTCTTGGCCAGTGATTGCTTAGGAAGTTCTGAGATGACCAACAGAAGCTGGGGTAATTTGCTCTTGTCTGTGTTCCTATGTCCATCCTAGACGGCATTGACCGTTGAGACAGAGGGTGGTGTGAGAGGACCAACGACAGTAACGTTCAAGCCTTACTCCATTGGACATGCACCGGTCAGAGTGGACAATCTGTGCGATGATGTCAACCTGAGGTTTAACCAAAAGTAAGTCTTCAAAAACTTACAATTCTTGCTATGTCTTTGTGAACACCATATGGGCAATTGTCTGTATTGACTTGGTGTTTCAGTGATGTAGTTTGAACCAGTGCTGGTATGTTCTATCATAGCCAAGACAGATCTTCACTGATTTCTGTTTATACCACACCATTGAAACTTGGGGCATACTGTTTCCACTTTGTCCTTCTGTGTATGGATAGGCCTTCCCCGCATGAAGAGAACATTTTTATCTTGTCAGGAAAGCTAGAATTGCTTTTTGTGGACAAAACTTTGTCTCCATAAAACTGTTCATCCCATAACATCTATATTTCAACATGTATTTCAAGTCCTCTAAACCTGGTAACAAGTATGAATGTTCATGTGTGCAGTTTGCAGTGAAGGTACCGGAACATTTGTGTATTTTGAGCTCTTTTGAATGGCACATGATAAGATTGTGACAGAAAATCCCACTTGAAATTGTAAGATTTAGTACTTTTCTGTTTTTCAGCAAGTTTATCTAGCAGAAGTTGGATCAAATACATCTACTTTGCTGCAGCTTGAAATTACGCTGCTATTCACTGACAAATTCTTGAATTAGTACACTATTTTGATTGGTCTGTTCTCAAATAGGAACATTGGTGGTAGACTCCTTGTCCAGCCGCACAAGACGGTGCTATTGACCTGGGATGACCCCACAGCAGAGAGAATGTTTCTGTGGAATCTGTACAACAGAAATAAAAAGTCATTCAACTGCGTCATTGACAGGGTAATTCTGCAAATCTGTTCAATGTAAACATTGGTACATGTCATCAGCTGTTGGTTAGAGAAGGTAACCCAAACATGCTTTAGCTCTTTGTACACTGGTTAAAAAACATTCTGTGTGAATAGTTGTGTGAGTGTTGAGTTTTCAGATTCTGTTGTGTCCATCAGATTGTATGTCTTAGCACATATTTTTGTACAGAAATTTGCTGACAACAAGTTTGAACAGAACTGCATGCAAAGTTAATTCTTGGAGTGATCAGTTTTTAGTAACTTCCTGTTTCAGCTCAAAACATCACATGAGATCACCTCTCAAGTATCTCACGTTTGTCTCATTTTGGGACTTTTTTCCTCACTGATTTCAGGATGGCTGGGGTAAAGTGACAGTTAGTGTTGATAGCATCAAGAGAAGTATGATGCCAGGGGATGGTCTGTACGTAGAAGGAGATGACGCCAG